CTAACTAAAGTTGAAAAAGAAAAAAAAGCATAATAGGACCCCTTTAAATAAGATAAATATAATTTATGTATTTAATCCCATTTTATTAACCAATGTCTTTACTACCGACCTTCGATGATCCAATTTAACCATACTAATAAGTAAAAATTACACATTTGTGTTTCATTTTTGTTATTGCTGAATACTGTTGAACTTTCTTCTGCGTCATATTCTTCATGCAATTTGCTTGAGCAGCACCCTCTACTGTACAGATGTGAATTTACATTTCCCTCAGCCTGATGTGTGTTCATTTCACTTTTGGTGCGCAAGGGCTTTTACAATTTTAAAAGAAGAGCTTATATATATATATATATATATATAAACACGCAAGCCCTGCCCAGATTTAAAAAGTAACTCAAAAGTAACGTAACTCATTACTTTCCATAAAAAGTGACAGTAACGTAATTAGTTACTTTTTAGGGAGTAATGCAATATTGTAGTGCATTACTTTTAGAAGTAACTTTCCCCAACACTGCTGATGAGCATTTCAGGGGTTAACACATGTGCATTTGTAAATCTATCTATGCAACCATTCATCCATCTATACACTCGTACAGCGGTGATACCATATTCACACACTATTAATGTAGCGTCCTAAAAAACATGCTGTTGTTAACACAGTTCTCCATGATATGTTTAATGGCAATAGAGCGGCTGTTCTTTGTTACTGTACTCCCTTTTTAAAACAGTGTCATGGTATTGTCATCTGATAAATCAGATTTCCATTGATGTTCCATAGCAGCACAACAGTAATTTTCTAGGGGTATATATGATTTCCGTTCCTCCCTACAGCTCACAATGCACCGCATACAGCTGCATCTGTCCGAGGATATCAAGTTAAACACCGACACACCCTTGATTTCAATATGACAACACATCAGTTTGAGGTGTCAGCTTATGCAGTGGAGCATGACCACAAAACACATATACAAACAGATACTGGATTTACATACACCGACATGCTTTGGAATCATTTGTCATTTTTATCAATGCGTGATAACGCCATAAAACATGAAAAGAAAAAAAAATACAGCACAGACTTAATACTCAATTAATGAACTTTGTGTGTGAACTCAAATTGTGATGAACAGCCCTTGAAGTGTCTGAAACGAGCACACGGTTAAAAGCATGAACGGGCGTGCATGAATTGAGTTCACAATTGATGAAATCAATGATTTACCTGCTCTCTGGTGTCACTGTAGTTAAAGTCCGTTTCTTGTAAACTCGGTTCACTCGGTGGCCATATTTTCATCGCCTCCGGGCAGCTGTTTTGCTCATGCAAAATCAACTCCTATCTGCTTGAATGGGGAAATACCGAAATGCCAAGAACTGTTTGCGAAGCTCATTTAAATAACATTTCTAATCAGCAATACAATCCGACGTATGCTGTCCCAAATGCTGTTTCCTACGAATAGCGGTATAGGCGTAAGCTTCCGGTTGGTCCGGTCAGCGCGCATGCGTACCGCAAATCCTCAAAACTGGCTGTTTCTATGGAAACCGGAGCTTTTTAAATGCAGATACATTAAATAGTTCGTGATTGGCTCTTACGTGTAGAAGGCTGGACGTCCTCCGATTTATCCCACATTGCAGTTCATCCCATTCACAGAAATGCGTGTAAAGCACAACAGATATCATTATATAAGCAGATCCCATCCTCCGCGGCTGAACAACAGAAGGTGTAACGGTCAACGTGGATCACGTGTGCCTCATAAGCCAATCACAGCACATCTTTGAAAGTTTTACGACCGTCAGTCATCATAATACTCAGGTACCCTATTTTGTGTCTTTTTATTGCTCATAACTGTAACTGATCATGCTTTAGTTACTGTTGTGCACTGTTTGTATTTGTATTACACAAAGTATTATAGAAATATCGTTATACATGATAATTATACAGACAATACTAATAATTGTTTTTAAACATTCAGTCACACACACACACATACGTATTACTAAATAAATACATCTAAATACATCTTTAAAAAAAGAATTTATTAATATTGTACAGATTCCGTTTTATGATATTGAACGTTAATATGCAATACAGTATTAATAACTAAAATAAATATTAATTAAATTTATAATAAATCTTTTTTTATTCATTTTTTGTACTCAAAAAGTGATCAAGTGCTAAAAAGTGATCTCTGCTAAGAGATGAAGTAATAAAGTAATTAGTCATTGTGTCGGTTTGCACATGATTGTGTGTGTGTGTGTGTGTGTGTGTGTGTGTGTGTGTGTAAAGATCAAAAGGAGGGAGAGAGGGTTTATTAACATGACTCCATAAACACAGTAATAAGACCATGAGTGTAAATCAATATCTTAAAATGGTCATTTTAGTGCAGTTTTAGGGCAAATAAATGCATTTATATCCTGACTATGTTCAACCCACAAAAATCAAATTACAAATGTTTAAAATAATATTTGGGCCATGCTCGGATTCGTGATCCTTTCTGAAATTTCTGAATTTTCAGAAATTCAGTGTGAGCCATTAATCTATTTCAGAGTTAAAGTGTGAGATTAATGCAATGTTTCTACTCAAAACTTACTTATTGTTTGTAATATCTTGAATTTTGTTTTATGGCCTTTTAGTTTGATGGCTACCGTCCAATCCTCTCCATTTCTTGCATTCACAGCATCAACATAGAATTCGTTTTCTGAATCAGTCTCTTCAGACACAGTATTTATATTTTTCTGAGGTCTAGTAGACATACATTTACTAGCAAAATTATTTCTTTTTCCACATCTTTTGCAGTTTACACCGTATGCTGGACATTTACTTTTGTTGTGATCTCTTCCACAGTACTTACAGTTTCGCATGATGTAACGTGACATGTCTGGATCATTGGCTTGTGCTCCGTGTCTTGTTCGCGTTTGTCTTATACTGTGTGCGCTTCTGTCAGATGCACATTGAATTTGAGAGAGCTGCGCGCGACACTTTTGAATTGCTTTATGAAAAGATCATTCAATATCATTTGCGATTAATAGACTTCACATCTGAAAGAGATTGCATTTTCTGTGCGTATGTTCATTCTATGAATCACACGTAGCCTATGCATATTTGAGAGATGATCGTAAGATCAAATTTAGTATGGTTTCTGCGCAACATTTTATATATGAGGTCCCTTGACTCCAGACGCCGGGGCAGGACCAAGCACAACCTCCCGCTCTCTCTCCTGAAGCCAACACTGAAGTGACTTAAACTGTAATTCATCGACTGGCCGCTAGAGGCTGGCTGCAAAAGCGAGTCAATCCCATAGACTCCCCATGTTAAAATGCCCAACTTTACAGCAGAAAAAAACATGTTTACAGCCTGGTTCAAAAATGATTTTGGTCTATATAGCTAATTTTGCCCTTCATGACAACTGTGAGGGGGGTGAATTTTTTTATAACTCATCCGTTTAAATTATATTAAGCCTTAAAGTTCTGCATAATTAAGGGCGTGGCCACTTGAGTGACAGGTGGATTGCCGCTGCTGTCACCACCGTCGAGCTAGGTGGGCGTGGTTTCAGCAACCAGCTCCCGCCTCTTTGCCCATCTTCGATTATCCGGGAGTGACGCGCGGTGACGCACTGCCAAGATGGCGACGGCCGGCTCCGCCCACTTTTGAGCTACAAAAACTATCTTCGGAACCCTACGGGTGACGTCACGGACACTACGTCCATGTTTTTATACACTCTATGGGCAGAACACGTGGATTTTGAATGCAGCTTACATAAGACAAAAAAAAAAAATAGTTGAATAATATCTTTTTTTAATATTTAATACAATCATACTGGTGTGATTAGAACATTCATTGCGGCACACAATCAGATTCTAAATTCAAATCTGCGTTCGCGCTTTGGCTGGAACAGACGTGTTTTACAGCGCTGTGCATTATAACCAATCACACACGATTCTGTTGAGTTTATGAATGCAATGGCCAATCAGAAGCGTCCAGATGAGTCATCGCTGAAATGCCAGTGTTTTGCTCAGTGCGCCCGCGCTTCGTGGACAATTAATTCTCTCATCAGAATCAACCAGCGCAGATGTGCGTAGTTTATTTCACAGTGTAAACAGCTTCAGTGATTATAATGGGAGTTTTTGAGAGTGCTTGAACTCTGGCTAGACTTAAGTCAATGATAATGTTCTTTAATAATGTAAATGATCTTTGCAGTCATTCTGTACAATGAAAGTGTTAGCCTATAGTTAGTAACTTAAAATGGATTTATTACATTCACGTTAAAGACAAAGTCAATCGTATTAAAATATTTTATGACATGACACCCATATCTGGTAATTCAGTAAAAATAACTTTTTTTTTTTTTGCATATAGTTAATAGATTACACTAAATCCCCTTTCACTGTAAAATTAATATTTTAAAGAAAAAAATAGGCTTTTGCATCTGAACTCTTCATATACTCTAGCTCTGTTCCCATAGACACCCTTTGTTTGATCTAATTCTGGATATTTCAAGTTGATGACTTAATCGTGTGATTAATCCGCATCTGAAGCCGTGTCTACACCGAGAGAACCCATTATAATCAGCTGATGCTGTGACTGTCCACACGGGAAGAAATCTTCTACAGTAACTGATGCCTCCTTCTATCCCGAATCTTTAAAATATGCATTGTATTTTAAGCATTTGTCACATGTTGTGCATGTAAAAGTAGGAAATAATGAGTATATGTATCCATGTCACCCAGTACAGTTAGGGTGATATTAAATGACTTAACCAGTGATATAAGATTTTGGCCATATTGTCCATCTAACTCATTCATCACACACTATCAACAGGCACGTCATGTAGGGCAGGCTACACTTCTTGTATTTCATTTGGGCAACGCAAGGTGTCACTGTGGTCTCAAAGCTTTCCCCTCGCCTACTCCATTGCTATTCCTGAGGTAAAACACGCCCTCCTTATTACCTTACCGACGAAGAAATGTTTAAATAAATAAATGTGTAAATTAATAAATAAAGAAATAAATACGTAAATAAATACATAAATGTGAAAATAAATAAAAGTGGAAATAAATACATGTATAAATAAAAGAAAAAAGTCATGTAGAAAAAAATACTTAAGGAAATAAAAGTATAAATAATTATTTATTTATTGAATTTTTTGTACTTTTCTTTGTATATTTATTTATTTATATTTGCCTTTTTACATTTCTTTGTATATTTATTTATTTCTAATTTAGGCAGGTTTGGCATTCCATAAAATAGCACCAATATATCAGGGAAAATGACTGTAAGAATATTAAAGGAGTACTTTGGAGTGTTACAAGCTGTTCGTGAATAGATAAGATCCCTAAAGTTGCAAAGACTAAAGTCTCAAACCCAAAGAGATATTCTTTATAAAAGTTAAGACTCGTCCACGCCCCCCTAAAACGGCTCGTTCTAACACGCCCCCACATGTCTACGTCACTATGTGGGAAGATTTGCATAACGCCGCCCAAATGTTCACGCAAAGAAAGAAGGCGTAACTTTTATTCTCACTGTAGTATTGTTGCTGCCGCCGCCATGTCGTGAAGACGCTGTGTGTTTCGTTTTATTGGTGTTGTCTCATCGCGCCGGGGTAGACGGCATCACAGTATGGTAAGGGATGTAACATTTCCATCACGCGCTTGAGGTATTCGGCCAATCACAACGCACTGGATAGCTGGCCAATCAGAGCACACCTCGCTTTTCAGACCGATGAGCTTTGTAAAAATCGACGCGTTTCAGAAAGGCGGGGCATAGAGGAGAAACAATAATGTACAGTATGTGGAAAATAATGTGTTTTTTTAACCTTAAACCGCATAAACACATTTCATTACACCAAATACACCAAATAATGTTCTTTTTAGCAGCATCATATGACCCCTTTAAGGCAGCTCCAGCTTGGATCCAGCCTCTTACGAAGACTTCAGATGACCCAACACCTTTGAATAGAGGACACCTAGCCCCTCCAAGGACTTAAGAACATCAACTAAATGATACTAAATTACCATGTTGTCATTAGTTTAAATGCACATTGGATAGCAATCCAATGTGCATTTTAAAGTAATGACAACAATAATTTGGTATTTTGCAAAAACTACATTTCACAATACTTAACCTATTGTAATGTTTTTTATTATTATTATTATTTATTGCTTATATTAATTTTGAATCTTGAAAACTAAGGTGGGGTTGTCGTGGTTGGGTCTTCAATTCTTCAATGAAGAGGGGAGGGGGTGGATTTAATAATCTTTTACAGTACTGAATATTAATATGCAGTATAGTATTAATATTTAATAGCAATATATGACAACAAACATTTCTATAAATCATTTATCCAAATTTGTTTTGTACTCATAAGTAATCTGCTAAGAGCTTAAAGTAATAATAGCCATTGTGATGGTTTGCACATGAATGTGTGTGAAAAATGACAGCAGTCAATGAATCCTTTCAACGGTTTAATAAACAATGTTCAGCTCGACCGTAACGTCCAGAGTAACCTTTGACCTCAGAACAAAAGGAGGGAGAGGGGGTTTATTAACATGACTCCATAAACACAGTAATAAGACCATGAGCGTAAACCTGTGACGAGAAACATCTCTGCATACAGCACAATCTCCCATAATCCTCTCTGTCGTGTGTGTGTGTGTGTGTGTGCTGGTCTCAGGATGAAGGTCACAGTGCTCTGCTCATGGATTTTCTTCCCGTTTCATCAGACATAGAATCATATTTCATATCATATTTTTATTATTTTTTTAATCTAAGTTTTTGCTAATGGATGAGTTTTGAGATCCAAACCTAAACGCTCCTGCTGTCAAATACTGTAGTAACTATTTTGTTACCTTCTTTTCTCTCGTTTTAGCTTTTATTTGTATTTTTACACATTGTTCTGTACAGATGAGGACGTGAACGTGTGGCCATGACAGATCAGGGTGTGCACAGATGAGGAGAAGCCAAACATACAAACATCTTTGTCTGTCAAGAGCACATCCACCTCATATTTCACCTCAAAATCCAATTATAAATATTTAAAATAATATATATATATAAAAAAAAAATGAAGGGCCTTTTTATATATAATTTAAAATGGTAATTTTAAGGGCTATTTTAAAATTATTTTTTTCTTTTTTTTTTTATGTGGCTTTTATATGTTAAAATGGTCATTTTAAGGGTATTTTTTTGATATCACGATAATATGTTCAACCCTCAAAATCCAATAAAACTATTTAAAATAATATTTGGGCTATTATAGTCATTTTAGGACCATATTTATTTGTTATTTCTTTCTTCTTTTTTTTGTAAATATCATGAAAATATGCTCAACTCTCAGAATCCAAATGAAACTATTCAAGACAATATTTGGGCCATTTATTTGGGTAATTATAAAGCCCATTTTTATTTATACATTTTTTTTTATCAATATCATGACGATATGTTCAACCCAATTAAATTCCAATTAAAAATATTTAAAATAATATTTGGGCCATGGTCATTTTTATATATATTTTTAAATCATGATATATTATATATAAATGGACCTTTATTTTCTTTTCAGATAATTTTTCAAATTATTTTTTTATATTATGACATTATGATCAGCCCTTAGTTTTTCACATTTAGGTTCTCAAACTCTCAAATTCACATTTCCTCTATTTATTTATTTTGTGGTGAAATATAACCCGGCCACTTCTTCGTGAGATTCTCTCCTCTGTTTATCTCTCCCTCCATAATTGTCTGTCTCTCTTCTGTCTCTCTTGTTTCTCACCGATACGCCTCCTGGAGGCAGGAATGGGCACCGAGTATCAATATTGTGTGTTTGGCAGTGTGATATAGATCATTACAAGCACCAAACCAAATCAGTGTGTGTGTGTGTGTGTGTGTGTGTGTGTGTAAATGAGGCCGTTTGGATGCTTGTGTGAGCATATGTGAGAATTTAAAGGTGAAGCACATAATATTCTGGATGTTAAACACTTTCTGACTCAACAATTAGCTATTAGAGTTCAGTGTGTGCGAGTTCAGAAAGTGCATTTTTACACATAATTTACACACTTCACCTTTACCGCAGGTAGTTCACTATGAGGGGCACTTGTGTTGTACCATTTCAGTGAGACGTACACAATAGTGTATAAAACAACTGTGATAAATGAACTCTTACTCACTCACTCACTCACTCTCACACACACACACACACACTCACTTACTGAACGTTTCTGAACGCAAGAACTGAGAGTCCATACTTATCATCTTAAGAAAACCACTGACAAACACACTCACAAACACAGACTGAAGCGGTACAGGTGTGAGGCGAGTCACATGACATTGGTTTATTCATCAATCAGTCAGTCTGCACACGTGCGGCCACTGCGTGATCATGAGTGCCAACACATCATGATCTCAAATTAATCTGATCTAATTAAACCATCAGAAATTAAAATAAACCACAACAATCCATCTCACACACACACACACACACACACACACACACACACACACAGATCGATGCATGTGATCAGTGAGGACAGATGTTTTCTATTTCAAAAGGCAGTACAATACTTACAAACCCTATTCAAATAAATAACAAATAAATTAATCATATAAAATCAGACGGACCGGTCTACAAGTCAGTTGAGTTAGAAAACAGAAACAAACACATTCGGCACATACATGCACGCTAGAAACCAAAGCGGGACAGTCACTATCATGTGAGAACGGATGGTTTATCTATTCAGAAACATTCAGAAATCATGGGGATGGTGGATTTGACCTAAACGCTGTGGAAGGCGAGCGCGACTGTGTCGTGTACAGGAGGAGGTTTGTCGGGTGATTCATGTTGTGGGCGTTAGGTGTGAATGCTAACGTGTGTGTTTGTGCTATAGCACCCCGTCCATGAAGCTGGTGTCGAGGTGCTGGATCAGAATGCGCATGAAGCTCATCTCTTTCCTCGTGTTCTCGAAGATGACCCGCGGGTCGTCCGACTGGCAGCGCAGGCAGTTTGGCGCCATCACCATTGCCAGATTACTGACATCCATCTTAGTCATGGACACGCTGGAGGCTTGAGCAAATACCTGTGATGGAAAACAGACATATCTCTTCATGTCTCTTAATATCGTTTTGAGATGAACAGATGAAAGTGTAGTTTGACAGACTTCACAAACAAACTGCTAAGTGACTGAAAAGAGCAACATTTAGATATAATTGCCTCAGTGTGGAGCGCGATCATCCCTTCCTCTTTACTACTAGTTTTAACGCGAAATAAACATGAATGAACATCTCACCCCTCATGTAATCGCTTAATAAGTGTTTCAACCAGGGAGAGATGTCATTTAAACAGCTTGTAAACAAAATATCACGTAGCATTTCCTATCTCAGGCAAGTTAGCAATGTAGCAATGTCTACAGCTCGTTGTTTGCTAGAGAAATGAAGTCTAGTGAAAAGCATTTTGCGAAATATTAGACTGTAACTTAATTATGTTTCACTTTACCTGTTAGTGATTGTTTAATGCGTGTTTAAACAAATCTTTTACGAAACAAGTTATGACAGCCACTCTGTAGGCTAAATTATTATATTTCGACAACAAATTGAAATTGTATAATTTATAAGTTAATTTAAATGCTGCATTATGTGCAATTTACATGTTTGCATACAATTTTTTAATTTGAGTGTTGATTATTATAGTTAAAAATAAATAGTAATTGAATTTAAGTTTGGGCTCTGTTGTTAATTGCAATCTTATAGTAAGGTAAAAGGGCTCACTATAGTTTAGAGACCATAAGCTGAGGTAGATTTTTATCCTTAAGAAAATTTGAATTATAATGAACTCTTTCACCGCCAGCATTTTTGAAAAAAGTTGCCAGCCACCTCCAGCGGTTTTGATGATTTTCACAAAACTTTGATGGCCTCCAGTATATTTTGCTGTATGAATATTTGAATATGAAATACACCAAAATAAAGATCAGAGCCTCTACTTTTAAACAAAAAAATCAGTTTTATTCTAGCTTAAAGCATTCTTTTTTTTTATCAACACTTGAATATAGGTAGGTTTCATAAAAATGCATAATTTTGAGCAAAAAGGTGAGAATCACATTTTTATCAAAAACTACATCTGGATGATATTCAGTAAGATTATCAAAGCATAAATCCAGTAAATCGCTTCTATCAACACCTCCAAAGCTTGCACAGACATATACCACTTCCTGGATCAACATTTTACTCTATAACATTATGCAGTTTTCATTTATATGCTGTCTATTGCTGATGATCGCATTATTTTTCATATGCATCTGTTTACATAAAAGATCGCTAGTTTCTCCATCCTGTTCATGTGTGTTTTTGTTCGGGAGGTTTTGTACTCGTTCAGAAGATGCGTAATAGCGCCCCCGAGTGTATAACAGTGAAAACCAAAAAAAGCCGTAAAAACTCATCTTGGCGAAGAAGCGTTTTCTTGTAAAAGACGAGATAACGCGTCAATGGCGGGAAAGAGTTAAATGCATTTAAAGAAAGAGCAGTTTGTTCAGTAAACCATTGTTTAATAAAAAAACAAACAAAAAAAAAACAACAGTTTGTTTAGTTTTAATCCTCATGTTGTACCGAAACCATATCGAACCGTGACGTCAAAACCGAGGTATGTACCGAACAGTCATGTTTGTGTACCGTTACACCCCTAATAGATAGATAGATAGACAGACAGATAGACAGACAGACAGATAGATAGACAGGTGGTCAGTCAGACCTGTAGGAAGCGGATGAGGTAGCAGAGCACCAGTTTGTTGATGTGAGGGAGGTTGAGGACGACGTCGACAGCAGCCGCAGGACTGTCGTAGTTCATGACACACTGCTCATAAAACTCATGAGGAATCACCGGCTCCTCCAGCTCTCTGTACCAGAGCTTCAGCAGCGACGCTAGAGAGACAGAGAGAGACTGCTGAGGTCAAAGGTCACAGGACACAAGAGTGTAGAATTTAGTAGACACCCAATGACATGTCCCTAGTACCAATATCCAGCGACTACTAAATTGTCCCTAGCAATACTTTTCATCAAACAAATATATGTATATATATATATATATATATATATAGACACATAATATATATGTAACCACTGTTGTTGTAATTTTGGCTGCATCTGAAATAGATCATACCATTGATATTACCTGAGAAGTTAAAGAAATATGCAAGAAAACTGCCCACTTTCAAGAAATACATGTGTGGAGTAAAAACATACAAGAGCCAAAGTGTTTGAAACATACGAGCACAGTTCAGCTGAATGATCCAAGTTTATCCTATTTAAAGGGGTGGTTCATTGCGATTTCACTTTTTTAACGTTAGTTAGTGTGTAATGTTGCTGTTTGAGCATAAACAATATCTGCAAAGTTACGAAGCTGAAAGTTCAATGCAAACGGAGATATCGTCTTTTAAAATTCTGGCAGTTTAATGCCTACAAAAACGGCTCGTAGGGACTACAACGAGTTACTTCCCGGGTTCGTGACATCACAAACCCAGATAAACCCCGCCCTCGGGAAAAGGCAGCAAAGGGGGCGGGGCCATGCTGCGCTGCTTTAGAGAAGAGGAAGAGAAAACTAGAGGTGCACGTAAAAATCTATTCATATATGAATCGCAATTCTGTCTTCTAACGATTCTAAACGATTCTAGACGCGCACTAGAGGCGGTTTAGCCAATCACAACACACTGGGCTAGCTAACCAATCAGAGCCCATCGCCTATTTCTGAGGGAGGGGCTTCATAAAAGAAGGAAATGATCAGCACGTTTCTCAGAGAAGGGACAGAGAGGTGTGGAATAAAGGTAAATTATGTGAAAAATAATATGTTTTTTAAAAAACATGTTAGACTGCACCCCATAAACACAATCAAGCCTAGAAAATAAACCGTGAACCACCCCTTTAACTTTATGTTGTTCTGCTGTTTTGTGTTCATCTGCTTCTCACATTTTCTCTTTTTACATTGACTGTCACTCTATACAGGCTAATACAAGCAGATACAACAATCATTTCTCAAATATTTATTACAATATATACTAGTTTAAATTGAACATTCACTTCAGTGGTATGAGATGACTGTGCATTATGATAGAGTTTGCTTAATTCACTATATTTGTAATAGTTTGGCCACTGCAATTCAGTTCAATAGTAAATCAGTTGAAACTGCATCCAATGTTTCATCTAACATGTATTCTGAGCTGCAGCTCGTCATATTAATGAAGTGTTTGACTAGTTAGCAGTAAACCGGTTATCTCACCTGAATATGTTCATAGATTTGTGTTGATGTTTTCTTTGGAATGGAATTTTATTTGTAAACATCATACTCTTTTCACTTATTTCAGTTAATGCCATAAAACTAGCAAGCAAAGCCAGTAGTAGTGCTGACAGTGTCGTGTAAACATGCGTGTATTGTGAATCATTTGATTCAGATCAGGACTTCGGAGTGTGTATCGCAAATCTTTTTTTTCTGGTTTCTTAATACGAAACATCAAACCATTAAGGCACAGTTCATAAAAACAAAACAAAGAAAGAAAGAAAGAAAGAAAGCATATACAAATACCTTAATAAAATCTATTTACTATAGTAAAAGCATGGTAACCGTATTATTTTTTCTATAACCACAGTTTAACAGTTTTACTACAAATACCATGGTTAAACTATGGTTAGTATAGCAAAACCATGGTTAATTTGTGGTTATCATGGTTTAACCATGTTTTTTTCACCTTAAGAGGACACATAATGAATATAGAGATGCAGGTTTCACTGCTTTAGGATTCACAGAACTTTGAATAGTTTCCATGTACTCGTCTAGATCAACTCTGAATAAAGAAAAGAGAGATTTAGAACCAGATTTTTGTTTATATATGTGAAATTTAGCTAGCGGGAAACAAAGTAATGAAGTTATATTTTCCTGCATTCTTGTTAGAGTTGTCAAACAATCCGAAGAAAACATCTTTGAAACAGAAATAAAAGTCCCTTGCGAAATGTGAGATTAGATGAACAATAAATAAAATACATGTCTGATAAGCTGATAAAACTGATAAGCTACTACTAGATTGGATTGAATGTCTCCGTGTGGTTCATTGCCAAACAAGCGAATGAATCCTCAGAAGAGACAAAAACAGCAACTCACTTCAATGTCTGATTTATAATTCCGTCTATAATCTTTTTGATTTAATCATTGATCTGTAGCTCGAGCTCTTCATATTTAAGGAGAGAACTATAGTTTCCAAAGTCTAACATCGCTTGTTATGATTTTCAAGGGTGTAGAGTTTAGTAGAGACTCTATATGATCCTACCAATATCAGACACCACTAAATTGTGCCTAGCAATAATTTTGATCAAACAATTAAATGTCTGTTATCTGCAGTTATGTCTCCACCAGTGCCAAAATCGAACCTACACCCTTGACAGATCATCCACACCAGCAGGAACACGACTCTGTATGTGCAGTCAGTCTCAACCACTGTCTGCATGATGCTGTCTGCTCACACCATCACAAGAAAATCACAAGCTCTGATTGGCTGCTCTTCACTAATCAACTAGATGCTCAATCAAACCACTCAGAGACATACAGACTGTTTTCATCAGGAAAGAGTGACTGTTTACTTGACATGCTGTTGCTGTAGCTTCAGCACCCAGTTCATTCAGCAGTTACACATATGTGACCCTGGAGCACAAAAGCAGTCTTAAGTCGCTGGGGTATATTTGTAGCAATAGCCAACAATACATTGTTTGGGTCAAAATTATAGATTTTTCTTTTATGCCAAAAATCATTAGGATATTAAGTAAAAATCATGTTCCATGAAGATATTTTGTAAATGTCCTACCGTAAAAATATATCAAAACTTAATTTTTGATTAGTAATATGCATTGCTAAGAACTTAATCTGAACAACTTTAAAGATGATTTTCTCTATATTTTGATTTTTTTGCACCCTCAGATTCCAGATTTTCAAACAGTTGTATCTCGGCCAAATATAGTCCTATCCTAACAAACCATACATCAATGGAAAGCTTATTTATTCAGCTTTCAGATGATATAGAAATCTGAAAATTGACCCTTATGACTGGGTTTGTGCTCCAGGGTCACATATCAGGATATTGTTCAATTTTTCAGCAAATACACTCGACTGCATTGTGCCTCTGAATAGTGTTTAACACCAGCTTTCTTTGAGCAGCAATAATGCAAATCACTGCAACCACAGAAAATACAAATGTAAATGGATTTGTGAATCCAGCACATTCTATAATGAGCCTCATTTGTATATAAAGGAAGCGTATTTGCCCAAAAAAGAATGACAATGGATTCATTTAAATACGCATGGTGCATTGCTATAAATAAGTTTAGTCATTTGCAAGATTTTGTTGGAAAGATGTTTAGTGTTTTTAAAATGCAGTCTCTTCTGCTCACCAAGGCTGCATTAATTTGATGAAAATACAGTTAAAAAATTGTGAAATTTTATTTCAAATTTAAAATAAGTTTTCTATGTTAATATATAATAAAATGTAATTTATTCCTGTGATGCAAAGCTGAATTTTGCTGAAAAGCTGAAGTCACACGATCCTTCAGAAATCATACTAATATGCTGATTTGCTGCTCGAGAAACATTTCTGATTATTATCAATGTTGAAAACAGTCGTGCCGCCCAATATTTTTGTGGAAACTGTGATACATTTTATTTTTCAGGATTCACAGATGAACAGAAAGTAAAAAAAAACAGCATTTATTTGAAATAGAAATATTTTGTAACATTATAAATGTCTTTACTGTCACTTGATGAATAAAAGTATTAATTTGTTCAAATTACTGACTCCTATTTTATGGATTTTGTGCATAACGACATTATTTTCATGATAATTTAAGCACATTTCACCCCCAAATAACGAGAATCTAGTGAAAATCGCCACTGTGAATGATGGGAATTTGTCTAAATGCATTACAGCAATGAGAATTTTAAGATTAACCATGTTTATTTGTCATGCAAATAATTGAATCCAAACACCTAATGATCCTAAAATAGGCTCGCTGTTGTTAAGGCACATTTCAGATTTACATGCTCAAATGTCACGTAATGAAACCAAAGTCTAGTCTGGTTTCAGATGGTCATTTCTTCGCCAGAATAAAGTGCAACGTCTGTGAAATAATCATTTTGTGAACTGGCAGAGCTGTAGTTCAGTACGATCGGTGAAATCCTGGTCTAGAAGTGTGTTAGAAGCTAATGGCTTCATTATTTCTCACGCTACTAGATTTCCAGAAACGGGTCCGAGGGGAGACGCTTTATGAATATGGGTCAATGAATGAAAGCAGTTTTGTAAATGATAGGTGCCGGTTTCTGGGAAATCACAGATCTAATGAGGACCGGCCGGAGACACACAGACGAGTCCGAACGTCTGAGACACCAGAGAACATGCTATTTTATTTATTTATTACACATACAAGTAGTGCAGATCTGAATGATTTCTTATTCATTCGAGATCTAAGAGACTCGTCAAAAGCATGTAATTGATATCAGATTATGGCTGTTTGGATCCGGCTGTACTGCTGTAGCAGAAAGCAGAGAGAGAGTGGAGAAGGCCTGTAAGAGTTGTTGATCCTCCCACTGTGTGTGGGTTTGAACTATTTATATTCAGAGAGAAATGGAGCATTGCAGAACGCCTTGGGCTACAGGTGTGTGTTTGTGTGTGTGTGTGTGTGTGAGTGTGTGAGTGTGAGTGTGTGTGTGTGTGAGAGAGTGAGTGTGTTT